CAAATACTTTATTATCTGAAAGTGTCTGCGTGTGTTTTGAGTGGTTAAGATGACCCGTGGATTACTGCCAAAGAGAAGCAGAGTAAAAAGGGTTTCTTGCCCCGTTGTTGTGGAGGTTAGCAGTGCCAAAATCACAGCCTCCATCATATGTTCCTAAAAAAGGCAGTAGGTGCTCTTCTTCTCTGCTGGGTCCATGTTCTTTCGCTGAAATTCAAAGTACCCCCCTCCATCTCTTCCCTCATAAGCAGCGTGGTAGGAGTCAGTTTATTCTAGCATACACCAGGTTGCAACGTGTGGCATTTCTGGAGCCAATCTATGAGCTCGGTCCTGTAATTTTGAAGGGTAGTGCAACCAGTGGTGATGACGTGGACTGTCTGACTCACATCCAGCATTGCATCTCCATGTGTGCATTTCTGCTGGACTCACGGGGGGTAAGCAATATTTGCTAGATAATCTTGTGGCACAGGAATATCCCATGATTTAACTCAAGCAATGGAAAATTTTAGGGGCAGAGGCAAGATGTGAATTTTATCCTCCACAAAACAAGCTTGTGTCCCAGCCACTGCCTATCAGTTCCCTCCTTCCCATATGAAATACTCCTCCTATAACTAGAAGGCATGAGCAGCAAGGTGTTACCTGACATGTAAGTCTGCAGGTAAGACTGCATGAGTGCCCTGGGCTGTTACAGCTGCTCATTTTCCCTCTTGTTCTCGTGCATACCCCACGTACTTCTGATGCTCCGCAGCGTGATCTCAGAATTTGCAGACTGATGGGCAGCAAAGCCATGCACCTTCGCAACGCAGTGAGTAAGAGATGTAACTGGAGGAAGGATGAAGTAATTCCTGTCTGCACAAGCTGTCTCCGACTCGTGATTTATGCCTGAAGAAGGTCAGCAATTGTATTTTGTGGGGTGCTGTGATAACCAGAAATGGGAAGGTTTGCCGGGCTCCCTCTGCAACAACTGGTTTTCTAACTCCTTTTAACTCCAGGAGAGCTGTTCTGATCTTGATCTGAAGGCAAGGAGTTCACTGCCTATGGCTTTTATTGACTTAAATAAGTAACCAGAGAGAATCTCTCTTGATCAAGCTGTATGCTTGAATGATTTTTTTTCTTTTAATAGTTTCTTTGCCTCCCTGCCCTTGATTCATGATCTGCCCTAACCTTCCCTTAACCCCGTGGCCAGAAACCATCAGCTGTGCTTTTTCACTTCATCCTTCCCCCGCATTTCAGTTTCAAGAGGTCAGTTCACACCTCATCTTCGTGCTTCGTACCCTTGATGTCTGGGGACCTCAGACGTGTGTGCGGTAGACCAGGAGGTTGGCGTTGCTTCCCCAGAGCGTGATGCAGCACTTCCTCGGCCAGGTGACCAGGAGCTGGCTGCTATCAGGCTGCAGCTGTGACACCATGCTGCCTGGGATGCGATGCACAGCACGGTGTGGCAGCGTGTCCCCAGGATCTGCCAGTCTGTAAGCCGCAGCCTCAGGCAGCAGGGTGAAAGCACTCCCAGCGCACTGCGTTTGTGAGCAGGCTATGAGCTAAATGGAGTGACTGAGGTGGAGGTGAGGTTTGTGTTCAAGGCAGGAGGCTTGATGTATTTGCATGTGAGAGACTGCAGATAGCTTCAAGTTCGGCTCCTGTGTCACATTCAGGCAACTTCCCCAATATGGTTTGGACTGCTACGTGTTCAAGGCACCTAATGGTAATATTTGGGGGTATTGGGCACTGCCCCTGCTTCCCTGTTCAGCCAGGAATAACACCAGGAAAGACCTCTAACTACACTGACATCCCTTGGGATGAGAGCAAGTTGCAAAAATCCAGCCAGAAGGGGAGAGGAGAAATAGGATCACCAAACAGAGGGTTAAAGTGTCATGCCACGCTGGGGGGTTGCTGGACAGTGTGGGTGATGAAGAACAAGCCCCTGCCTTACACCTGCTGGTTCCTTCTGGCCCTGTCCCTATAGCAGCAGAGGAGCAGGATGGTGTCAGATCAGAAGGAAAAAGCCTCCCGAGCAAACCACCCCGTGGACCTGCTGCTACCTGAGGCTGCCGAGCGAAAGCATTCAGCCTGGCTACAGCAGGGCTGGCGAGCACCTGGGCGTTGGTAGCGTTTGCAGCTATGTCAGCAGCAGTAGCAACAGCAGGGTACTCAAATATCAACCTTGGGAGAGAAAGCTGCTCACCTGAGAGGGTCAGGGCTTCCCTCCTCTCCATCACTGCCATGAACCTGTCCACCCTTCTACCCTTTCACGGAGCCCCTGAGAACATCTCATTGCTCCTCAGGGAGCTGGCGAGCAGACCATCTTTGTTCCCTCAGGCAGCAGTTGGCTTCAGCAGGTCTTCTGGTTGCAGGATGCTGAAGGAGCTTTGTCTCTTCTCCTACTTTCTATCATTCCCTCCCTCCTCCTAGCAAGGAAAGCCAGGTTTACCTCCAGGGATACTCCATGGAAATCCCCAGGTGGAAAAGACAACCTTTCAGCGAAGAGCTGCAGCACCAGGAACTTTCTCTAAGGGGAGCGTTTATGCTATTATTTTCTGAAATTCATTTCCTACCACGTCGGGGCATTAGCCTGCCAAAGTACAAATTACCCAGCAAGGAGAACGCTACCTCCAGATTAATTTCTAGCTGTTTTGTCTCTTCTGCGTTTGGCTGATGTAAGCGTTAGGTAAATATTTGTACAACACAGAGATTTGCCCCCCTTTCTTCTCTTTTCCAAGGGCCAGAGAAATGTCAGCTGTTGGCACTTGTATCCAGCCAAGCTTCTGTGTTTGCTCCGAGGTGGGCTCCATGCCAGTCGTGTGTAGGAGCTTGAGCGCAGACGAGCCCAGGAGTCACCGTGGAGGACCAGCCCAAAAGGCAGGCAGTGGTGGCCAGCATCCTGTTTCCAGCAGAGGCTGATTCCTGGCATCTCATGTTGAGCTTATTGCATAGATCGGCAAAGTTCTGCGTTTAAAAACAAAATTAAATAATCTCTCCCCTCTGCAAAAGAGAAAGAACTGCTTCTCTTGGTGTCTTTTTCCCTCAATGAGTCTCCAACAGTGAACTCACTGTTTTATTCACTTTTTTTTTCTTTTCTTTCGAGTTTTATTTATTTCCTGTCTGATCCAGCCAGGCCCACTCTTCTGGCTCTCTCCTCTGAGGAACGTGTGCCCCTGTCTCCCAAGAGCAAAATGAGCCTTTGAAGCAGTGAGCACTGAACTTTATGTCAGCTCCGGAGCCTGTTCCAGCCCCATTGCGAGTGGGACTGTACGTCCAACTGCAGGACATTTGGAAACAGTGGTTTCTGCCTCATTGCTCTGAACAAGGTGGAAGCTCTCACATGCTGTTTTATGTGGAGACATAGAAATCTCCTTTCCCATGACAGGCAATCTCTGAAGCATGAGATATGCTTAGCTGCATTAATCAGTAGATTACTCACCCAGACTCCCAGACTATTTGACCGAAAAACAATATGCAGAAGATCAAAATTGATATTCACATTTTTAGTCTTTGACTAACCCTGTAAGTTCAGAGTCCGCTGGTGGGAAGACCCCGATCAGAAATTTGTGGCTGAACAGCATCTATCAGGGCCTGAATCAAAACCAAACACTTAAACCAACACTCGTGTCAGAAGAGCAGGGCACTTGAGTTGCCCCTGAGCCTTGTCTCTTCAGTGGCATCTCTGACTACTTACTTTCACATTTTCCACAATTCTTGCACATTCTTTTCATTAATTGCCCCATTTTTTTCCACACACCACGGGGGACAGGATCAACACCTTTGCTTTCTACTCACCTTTGTCAGACACTGCAGCACCCAGCTTCAGGAACAAGCTACCAGTGTTTTGCAACTTTGTAGGTGCAATAACAGGCCAATTGCTTAACACAGATGAGGCAGGGAAGCTGTCAAGGGATCATTTGTGACCTCTAATTCCTGGGGTTGTTTTGGGTTTGCTTTGGTCTCAACTGAGCTGATCTAAATCATGTCACTTGTAAATGCACCCTGCTCTGCTCTGCAGTACGTGGATTTTGAGCTGCTCTGCTACCAGCCTGGGAGAAGTGTTGGTGGAAGCTTGGGCACTTGTGCTCTTTGCAGTTAAGCTCTGATGTGCTGTGGGCACAGCGCTGAGCTGCTGGCAGGTTGGTTAGTTGCTGACTCAATGCCAAAATGTTTAGCAGCTCCAAAAACCACATGGCATGAGCCACCGTAACGCTGCTGGGAGGCATGAGCTGTGCTCACCAGCACCTCCTGCTAGTGGTACCGACGGTGGTTATGCAGAGGTACAAGGTTATACACACTGCATCTGCTCGTCTTTGTCCCTCGGGAGAGCAAGGAGGCCAACGGAGCTGCAGATGGATCCCAAACCACGTCCTGTCTCAAGCAGACGGGGAGGGGGGTAAAGCTGAGTTGAACCTGAAAGCTGGTTTCACTTACGTAGTGAACATCAGTGCTAGTACTTTAGGTGTTACAGCTGAATGTCCTATCAGGTTTGGTCTTTGTGGTCATTCAGTATTTCCTTCAAGAAAAGAAGATTGAAAACTTTTATTATGTGAAAAGGTGCATAATCAGAATAATATTTTTTGATGGTTGAACTAATTAGGAATCTGGAATCTGGTTATTGTCTTTTTTTTTTTTTTTCTTTGGGATTCTTAGTTTAAAAAATTGGTCATCTTTAGTTTGACCAATGGGATGGTTTGAAGGATCTACAAAGAGGTTCCCAGTCCTGTGATGATTATTGAAATTTCTGAAATACATTTTAGAACTATGACAAATCTTGAATACAACAAATTAATAAGAACAAGGGAAGAAGGGAAGAGCTTTTGAGGAAGACAAAGGTGATTTCTCTTTCTCTCTTTGTGTCAGCCTGCCAGCTCCATGTCACATAAACTCCTGGTCTCTTCTGGGTGATGCAAGAGTGTTGGAGGTCTCTCAGCCGAAAGAGGGACCAACCACTTTATTCTGGTTACTGCTGCAGCTTCTTTTTTTAGCCTGTACTCTGACAGCTCTTTGTTTCCTCTGTGCAGGATATGAAGACTGGAGGGAACTGGCTAAGGCTCTGGCAGACACAAACATCCCGGGTGGGGACCCAAGCCTCCCGTTTAACTATCGTCAGAAGATGGGACAGCAGGTGAGGAGACTCGGGATATCTTCTGAACATTTGGGAGGACAAGCCTTCCTTTCTCATGGTGGCCCCACGAGACAGCTCTCTCTACGTGAAGAAAGGAGAGCATGCCAGAGAGCAAAATCTGAGCTGGCTCACAGCAGTGCGAGTGTACAAAGACTCCACTGTAGTCAATTGAGTTATTTTAGACGTGCTCAGCTGCAGTGGTGATGTGAAGCTGGCTGGGTATGTGGCACAGGAAGAGATGGAAGCAGAAATAAAAGGTCAGGAGAGAAGTTGTAGTGCTCCAGCGAAGTACATCTTGTTGCTGTTGTCTGAAGGAAGTGTTGGAAGAACTATTGCTTGGAAGAACTATTGCTTGGACCCTTTGAAATGAGGGTGGGCAAAAAAAATAAAATATAAGGGATAATGACCTAAGTTTTAGCTCTGTGCTAGCAGCCATTATAAAGTGCTGATATCCCTTCCCTTTAATGGGGAACTCTGGAAAGATGGTGTCAAGAAAGCCAAGGAGCATTCCCCCGTGTCTCCAGTGGCCAGCCTCTTCCTTGGAATAGTTATGGGAAATTGCTTCTTGTCTCACACGTTCTTGCATACAGACTCAGGCTTTATTGTGTAGCTGTCAGTACCTGGTCACTTGTCAGGTTACTTTGATTGTCCTCTCCTTGTATTTCAGAACCAGGAGCATCAAAGAGGTGGAAGGAATAAGTCGAATTATGCAGCTGTGGGCAACCCCGTCCCATGGATGCCAGAGGTTTGTGCGTTTCCCCAGCCTTTTGCACAAGGGAGCTGTAGTTAGAGACCTGTGAGATTGGAAGGGAGGGACCTCTGCCTGAAAATGCATTTGCTTCGCTAACAGTCCATTCCCTATCGCTCCCTCCTGGCTTAATGACACTTACAGACCCAAGTAATCATCTTGAAAGACAGGAGCGTCCAGATTCCTGATAATTAGGCGTCTTTCCCAGCCATCTAGGCATCAAGCACTTGCCCATAATTCCCTGAGAGCAGGCAGTCTGCTGTCCCCAAAAGGTGAGGTTTATTCAGATCTGGGAGTGCACAGGGCCAAGTATTCAACAAGCAAACACCTGACTGTGGCACGCAGAGGCTATGCTACGCTCATATTCTGGCATTTGCGTGTTACCCAACTCCTGCTCGCTGTACACAGAGGTCTCTCCACTTCACTGACACTTCTGATGAACCGAGACCTTCACTGGTGACCCTTGAAGATTGGGGCAAATGTTCCCTTTGTTTCTTTCACGCCTCATTTATTCTTTCCTCTGCTGTCCCCTTATCTCGCCATTCCTCTTCAGATAAGGGAGCAATGCAGCCTGACAATAATGAGAGGGACACCAGCCAGGGGGCATTTGGCTAATGGAGTCAGCTGCCTAAATTCCTCGAGGTGATTAGAGACCAGCACCAATTAGAAGGGGCTGCCTCCCAGGCAAGTGGGCCCATGGAGAGCTCACTTAGGGCCAAGGCTGCTGCAGCACACAGGGCTGACATGGTGCATTTACTGCTCCCTCATCCCACAGCACCGGGCACTACAGGCTCAGCGTGGCATCCCCATTGCTTCGCACAGGCTTAGCCTGTTGGCTCTGATTTCCACCTCCTGGAGATGTCTCAAAAGCCTGTTAGCCTTGAAATCTGCCAGCTGTGGTGGGTTAGAAATGCAGGGGAAGGGGCAGGACTTGGGGTGGGATGTGCCTGTGAAGGTGCTGTGTGCCTGGTCCCACACTGCTCCCTGTTGGGGAGGAGAGCCCTGCCAGGTGGAGGGCTGCTGCTGCAGGTTGGGGAGCAAAGCGCACATTTCTCCTGACCCAGGGATTAAGTTTTCCTGTAACTCTGCCCAAATTAATTACCTGGGGCCTATGATCCCATTGTGCCCTCCCGGCAGCATCTCGAAGCACTTAATTGCATCCTGGATCCTGGGGCGAGGGCAGGCAGTTTGCCTCCCACAGGTCATGGAGCTGGGCTTCGTTTGAACAGAGGTATGTTCTTGACAAACGTGAATAATTAACAGGGTCGTAGGGAGTGCTGACAGCCAGCGTGACCAGAGGAGGACAGGTTTCAGTTTTCCTCTTTCGGTATCAGGAGATGAAACGGGTGGTTTGAATCTTCAGATGTGGATAATGTGGTGGGAAAGTGCACATGCAGGGAACCCCTAAAAGTGTTACACACTGCCTCATCTTGACGGATTCCCACAAGTGGCTGCAGAGCTCGCAGCAGAGCCCAGCTGCTTGCTGCTGAACGTCCCCCAGCTGGGGGAGCTGGCCCGGGCAGGAGGAGGGGCAGCAGCCACCCTGCGGACACAGAAGAGGCTTATGAACTCAGCTTTGGGAGTTTGGGTTCGCAGCACAACGTCGCCTTTCTTCCCCGGCTCAGGCCCTCTCTGTGCCGCATTTATCGTCCCCGGCGCTGTGCATTCCTGGGGTTGCACGCAGCTGATTTGCCTCTGAGATGCCAAAGCTGGCCAGGATTAAATTAGGAAAGACCTCACTTCCCCATCCTGTCCCAGCATGGCACCAGCCTCTGCTCCTTCCCTGGGGCTCCTGGCGCTCCTCGCTGCGTGCCCATGACGCTGTGCTCAGGGGAATTGACCTGCCCAGACCTCCTGGGGAAGAACAGCTCCCGGGGACGTGCTCGTGGAGCACATGGGCTGTGCCAACAGTGCCCTTGGTGCATGACCCGTGGCCGTTTTGGATCCCAGCTGGGTTCTTGCAACGCTGCTGTGTTAGCAGGGTGGAGATAAGCAATGGGGAGGTGGGGCTGGAAGGGAGGGACCCAAGCGCCAGAAGGAGCCTCTGGATGGGAAGGCACAGACCGCGAATGCCAGCTCCCGTTTATGGCCCAGCCCCTGGGCTTCTATTCTTGGTGCTGGCCAAGCAAGTCTGTCCAAAATTTCCAAAGCAGATGCTGTTATGGGGAGAAGGACAACTTAACTTGTTATTTACTGGGTTGTAACTTTCAAATCCTCTGGAAATCAGATGCAAGCTGGGGAATCAAACTCAGAAAAAGTCTGTCGATGTTTCTCAGGAGCTCTGTGCATGGATGGTGAATGATGGTGTCATTTATTGCTGCAAACTGCAGCAAACACCCCAAGCAGATTATTTTCTGCCTGTTCCAGAAGGGACCCAAATAGCAAACAGAGGAATTTCTCAGCTGCCTGCACTGGGCAGCCATGAGGCGAGCTGGAGGCACAGAGGTGATAGGGTTTCAAAACAGCTGCTGCACTCATGACTCCTGGGGGCCTAAAATTAAAGCATAGCTCAGTTTTCACTTCCAGAGCAGCATTTTGGGCAGCCAGCATGTATCTGTCAATAACATTCTTCTTTTCCCCTTCAGAGGAAACAGTAAAGTAGGCTGCTGCAGAATAGGAGAAGAAACACTTTAGAAAAGACTGAAACTACATCCCTGCCCCTGGCAGGGGTTGGTACTGGGTGATCTTTCAGGTCCTTTCTAACCCGAGCCGTTCTAAGATTATATATGTGCAAGAAATGCTTACTATTTACCAGTTAATTATTTCTAAATGTTGTGAGTACAGGAAAATGAAGCAGTCACGTTAGCTCCTGCTAGAAACTCCTCTTAGGTGCCTTTGTAAAGACATTGGAGGTGGGGATGTCGAGCTAGAAATCTCTCACAGCACTGACAGAGCCCTTGGTGCAGGGCTGTCTGCCTTACCTTTACTAGGCTGCCCACTGCCAAAACTCTGCAGTAAAGTTTCGCATTAGGAGGGACTGCTCCAATTTTCCCCTGCAAAGAAGCAGATCCGGGCACTCTTTTGGGAATTCCCTCGTACAGACCTGCTTTGGTGTTTGGGCTACCCCTTTCCAAAGCCAGCTTAGCTCCCTTACAGCCCCGAGTCTCGGGAGCATCTCCTGGGTGTCTTTGCCAGGAAGGCAGTACAGCACCAGCCTGTCCACGGTGTGGGAGTGTTGTGCTGCATTTGATAGAGATCTGAGGCTGCTATCTGCAGTGTGCAAACAGTGCTCTGAGAAGAAAAAACAGCATCTCTTGTGGATAGCAACAGAGCCACTGCTGCAAGGCTCGATTCCTGGCAGAGACTAGCTGGGGGAGCTCAGCTTGTTCATCTCAGCTCATGTTCCACAAGAAACAGCAATTGTTATTTGATCTGGGGGAGAAAACAGTGTAAGACCCTTGGGTATGAACCTGGATTTCACCAGGGTGCATGGGACTGACCAGCAATTAGGTTCCAAGTCGGTGTCACGCTGGCAGTGATTGATTCGTATCGCAGCTCCCTGCAGAGCCCCAAGTTTCTCTTGCCTACAGCCCTTGCCCTGAGCCCTCTGCGCAGTTCCTCTCTCATTCTGTGCAGCATCACTTGGGGAAATTACATCTGCTTTTTGTCCCTCTGCTTTTTCTCTTGCCCAATGGGCAGAGTGTGGGCTGAGGGATGTCAGCAGAGGCGGTGGGGAACAAAAGGGACATCCAGACATCAGCCAAGCCCCGACAGCGAGAGCAGGCTGACAAGAGACCACTCGAGAGCAGCAGTGGTTATGAATGTGTTTTGCCTGGCACGCGGAGATGATTTTCACGTGCATGACTAAAGCCCACAGCTCACAAAGAGCATTACTGCATAAGCTGGGGCCTGGCCAAGTCTGCTCCACGTCCTTCCTTCAGGCCCCAGTTTATTACAGAACCAAACCCCAACCTGCTGTCCTGGGAGAAATAACTCTGCGAAATGGTTTCTCTGCTAGAAGTGCATGGAGGGGCTAGATCCTCCTCCACCACGCTGCTGCAGCCCTGCTCGAGAGACTTCCGTGACCAAAACTAGAAATTTGCTGCCATCTGTAGACATTTGGGTGCTATTCAGATGTTTCCAAGCCCTGCTCGCTCAGCCTTGGCTGGCTCTGTAGCTCCTTATATAGGCAAGACAGCTGTGGAAAACCTCCCCAGTCCCAAGGCAACCTATTCCTTTCTTCAGCATTTCCCCATCTAAGGTTGCCTGTACAGTCTCCAGCTTATTTATTCTCCGCTTTTGGATGCCAACCCCGCAAGGAAGGTTTCAGCATCCCGCTCCGCTGGTTGCACGCAGAGAGCCCGGGCTGCCCTGGGAGGCAGCCAGCCCTTCCCTTATGGTTGGCTGTGACAAAATAAAGCCTGTTCCTCGAGGAGCACGCAGCTGCAATCCCACAGCAGCCACGCCACCAGGCTTTTCCCAGCAGATCTGTGGTGCAGGTCCCCATCAGGCACAGAAAGCCTCTCCCCGTGGGGCTGGTGGGGTAGCGGGGACAGCCACCCCTGCACACCCTCCTCTGCTGTCTGAATCCCAGCTCCTGTCAGCATTTCTGTGTCCCTGTGGGCACGCAGAGGCCACACTGTCCATGTGCTGCTGCTCCTTACCCTGCTCATACATCCGTCTCCCAGAACAGTTGCCTCTCCCCGCTGTCCTCCCTGAGCTTCACCTAGCAGACAGGCTTCGAGGAGGTCTGCCAAATCCCCTCCTGAGGGTGTCCCCTCTTCCATGGGTCGGGAAAACTGCCCTGAAATGGTGCAGGAGCCCAGAATAACTCCATGGAGGACGTCAGACCCTACAGTCTCCCTGCTTGGATCATTATGGCTGCTGCCACGCCACAGCATATCCCAGACCTCACAGCACTGGTCTCTGCTTTCACACCTTCGTGATGGCTCCAGATTGAGCCCCAGCCATTTAACTGGGCTCTCCCTGGCATTATCACAGCTCCCTGGAGCTGTTCAGACTGTCAGCTGGCCCAGCCCCGGACCCGCAGCAGCTTTCTTCTCTCTCACAAGCCCTCCAGTGCTGGGACAGGGGCTGAGGTTGGCAGGGCAGGGGAGGGAGGTGGGAAGGATGCAGGGGGATGGGGACACGGCAATTCATGGTGCCCTGCTTCTGCCCCCCAGTTCCAGGGCCAGGCCAACCTGCACGTGTTCGAGGACTGGTGTGGCAGCTCCACCGAGCAGCTCAGGAAGAACCTCCACTTCCCCCTCTACCCCCACGTGAGTAAGACCCCAGCAGCTTCTGTCTCACAGTTTCTAGCTCTGCTTCCAATCTGGATCACCCTCGCTCCCTTCACATCTTGTCCCCATCCCTCTCCATCACCTCCTCTTTCTTCCTGCCCCTGGGGGAGCAAGAAGCTTTCACAGGGGTTCAGTGGCCCTTGGGAAGGAGGCTCGTTTTGTCCCTGCTGGCCTGCCAGAGCTGGGATATGGTGTGAAGGAGCCCTGCATTCGGTGCTCTCCCTCCAAGTGGCTGATGAATGCCAGATCCCATTCCCAGCATCTCTCTGGCATCCCCCATGCGGCTCTTCCCTCTCCTGAGCAGCTCCAGTTCCTCTCTCATCTCACCTGCTCTTTCCCACTGCATCCACCACACACCATCCCCCATCCTCCCCCAAAAGAAACCTCATACTTCCCTCTACCCACTTATTGCACGTTTTTTGTCCCCCCCCCCGCTTCTCTCCCCTCTTGTTCCTATCACATCTTTTTATTTATTTTTTTTTCACCTTCCATTTCAGACACGAACTACACTGAAGAAACTGGCAGTGTCCCCGAAATGGACCAACTACGGTCTCCGGATATTTGGCTACCTGCATCCTTTCACTGACGGTGAGGGCCCTGAGGCTGCTGTGCCACTGCTTGTGTCCCTGCTTGGCTCTGCACAGGGCTGCCCTCACCCACCAGGCATGAGGCCCCTCATGTATGCAGCCCAGCTAGCTGTGGCCCTGGTGTGGATGAAGCACGTCTGCCTCCATTGTAGGGTGGAAAGGAGTAGCACGTAAGAAAACAGATTGGAAGTGATAGCTACGAAACGATGCCGTTGTGAGTGCACAGCCCCATGACGTGTATGTAGGTGCGAGTGGCCTGTAAGCTTCTCTTCCCTCCCTCACATGCACAGGACTGTACGTGACATTGATCATGTTCCTACTGCTCCCTGGGTGCATGAACACTGTCTGTGTCACCCAGCTACGTGCTTCTGCCCAGGGCAGCGTGCTAACACTCGCCCCTTTCTCCTGGTCCTTGGGCCCTCGACTGCCATCCCTGTAGCCTGGCCAGGACAGCCAGACACAAACGTCTCTGTCTCCCTTCATGGCACCACATGCACGTTCCTCCATTCAGATGTGGCTTTTCACACAAAACATTTGCTCTGGGAACAAAGACAAGGGTGACCTTGCATAGACTTCTTAGCTTTCCAGGTTAGATGTCAGGTGAAGCCAGTGCAGGAGGGACCAGCTGCACCTGTAAGTGATTTTTGGTTTTTAATCACAGAACTAGAGAATTCAGAAAGGTCAAAAGGGGCGAGGTTAATGTCCAAAGGCTAAGCCTGATATCACCAGAAAAAAAAAGGGTAAGGACAGCATCTTAGAGGAGCATATTCCATTCTGTGTACAAGCCCTTACCCCAGAGCCCTACTTACTCCCTCCGTCTCTTGACAGGGGAGTTTCAGTTTGCCATTGCTGCGGATGACAACGCCGAGTTCTGGCTGAGTCCGGATGAAAAGACCTCTGGCCTCCAGCTGCTGGCCAGCGTAGGCAAGGTACAGTGCACGCTGCGTGGCTGCTTCCACAAAGGCTTGAAAGTTTCTGTGGGGATGGATGCTTTCCTGTCTAACATGCCACCTTGGACTAGTCGATTTTCTTTTCCTGCCCTGCTACAGGCACCACTGCCACAGTTGCCAGACAAATACAACGTGACAAAACCTAAGGCAGTTGGCACTGCAGCTGGCAGCCCCAGGTTCATGATTACAGACCTTAAATCTGTTCACAGGTTGTGAATCTCACAGACGACTTACCAGGAGAAGCAGCTCAATTTTCCCTATTTATTGCTCCATCACAGTAACCAGGGAAGAAATTCCTCTTAATTACAGCATTTTCTGTCTCTTCACAGACAGGGAAGGAGTGGACAGCACCAGGGGAGTTTGGAAAATTTCGGAGCCAGCAGTCAAAGGTGGTGAGGTGAGTGAGCAGAGTCCCTCACTCCCAGCCACCTTTGCACGTGGCCAGGAAATGACAAGGAAAGGGGAAAACAACACAGACTTGTTCTGAAGAATTTAGCAATGTGGAGAAAGGCAATGCTCTGGGATGTCACCAAAGCTGAAGTGAGGCTTCCATACCTGTGCCAGTTGCTTTGCTGATTCACTGCAGAAAGGCAACACGGAATTTTTCTTCCCTGGAGGTAGCAGCCGTCAGCAAATTCAGACTTCTTTTTACAATCTGTACCCTAAGCTTCCTGCCTTGGAACTGGCCAGGTTTCCCAGAGGCCAAAACCCAGCAGATGAGACTGAAAGGGAGTTTTTCAGAGTTACTGAGAAGGGTCTGAAGTGCTCCAGGTGCTTGAGGGAAGTTACCTCTCTAGCTGTCGGCAGCTGGATTTTCTTGGCAGCCCCATCCCTGCTCGCCCTGAGAATTAGTTTGGTTCGTGGGCGCGGTTGCTCTCCGCTCATTGTCTGCTGACAAGCTAAGAAATGTTCCTTAATGCTGTTGGTGACAGACGTGTTGTTCTTCACAGGTTGTCAGCTGCAGGCAGGTACTACTTTGAGGTGCTGCACAAGCAGGATGACAAAGGAACAGACCATGTGGAAGTAGCAGTGAGTCTATGAAAATGGCCATGCTGTGTGCAAATGGCACTGGGGTGTTCGTCCCCTCAGAGCTTGGGAATGAAGTTTGTAATGATTTCCTTCCTTCTTAGGCCCCAGCTCCTCTTTGCGGGATATATATCTAATCCCTTCCAGAGTCCTTACCTGCTTCTCTGTGGGATAATCCTGGCTGTGTCAGGACCATTTTCTCTGTCTGGGACAGTTCTGCTCTCCCTCTGGTCTCTATTGCAGCTCTTCGTCCTTTCCTGCTTTGAACAAGTCCTGGGGGATCTCAGCTCATTACGAGTCTTTTGCTGTTAGGTAGATTGTCATAGTAAGAAGGAGAAAGCTGTGAGCCCACCTGGTGAAAAAACATCAACAACAACAAAAAGCGTGTGCTTATTCCTTTTGTCTAGGCTTGGCTAAATGTATAAACTCCTTGTTTCAATGTGCTTCTCTGTTCCAGTGGAGACTGAATGACCCAGATGTGAAGTTCAAAGTCATTGACTCCCAATACCTCTCCCTTTTTGCTAGTAAGTATCTTCACCACAGGTCTCCTTGAGCACCTCCCCATTCTTCCAAAACTTATCATCAGTGTTTCACCGTGAATCACAGTCTAGCCAGCCAAATTCCATGTATATAGATCACTACATGAAAGAAGTAGAGGCAGGTTAGGAGAGAGACCTCTGGACATGAGTGTGTGACTCGTTATTAAATACAGGAGAATTGGAAGAAGGATTGGAGCATTATTTTAGGGAAATCTAGAGTCAGGAAGGAAGGAAAGAGAAGAGAGTCTGCAAGGGTGAAGGAAACTGTTTGAGATGTGAGAGAGAGATTACAGGGTGGAGGTTGCCTGCCTGTTGTGCAGAGAGCTAGGAGAATGTGGAGCCCACAGCATGGGAGCAATGGGGTTGCTCTGGCAGCTGGACGTGACTAGGGCAAAGGGGCTGCTGATTTCACTGACGTCCAGCAAATTTCTCTCAGGACATGGGACACAATGGGATACATCTAGTGGTATCAGACGTTGCTGCTTTTTTCTGTGCCCCCTTCAAGTCTTTTCAAGTTGCTGCAGGATTGCAGCAAGAACATCAGGCCAGTCCCTCCTGTTTTAAAAACCCTTTTTAGCACATCAAGTGATGCCTTTATCAGTTAAGGAGCTCCTCAGTCCTGCCTTCCCTTATCTAGCTTTGTCAGCATCACTTTCCCCTGCCAACATTCCCCCTTTCCCTATCTACCACTGTTGCCTTCCAACATTTCTGTGGTGGTGTTTTTTTTCCTATGCTAACACTTTTGCCGATGGGAGACTCCCTGATGTAATCCAGACATCTGTTTGCAGTGTCTTAGATTACAGCCTGCTGCTGCATTTTTGTAACCCACCATTTGGCCAGGACTAGGTCTGCAGTCATGTCTTCTGTCCCCTTTCTTTTTTCTTCTGTTCTTTTCTGCTTATTAATTCCCTGTAGAAGAGGTGGCTCACAGCCCATAAGATCCTCTCATGGCAGGCACAGTGCTCAAGTCTCAGTCTTATCTTTATTTGGTGCCTTCTGCCCATACATTGTCTCCCTCTTCGACCCCAGCCTTTGGCTGTACCACACATTATATGGGTTTCCTGTGTTATTCTCTACCCAAAAGCTGCTGACAGTAACCCCAATGCCCTTGGCAGCATGTTGCCTTTCCTTCTAAGATATTTATTCAGTTCTGCTCATTTCAGAGCCAGATCAGCAGAGATATGCAATCCTTTGGCAGCAGCGCTCAAGAAAAAAACATAACCAATGCCCAGTGCTGAGCTTAAGCTTCGCATTGCTCCTGGCTTACTGTGGGCATCCATTCCCCTGCTGGAGCATCAACCTCCTTGGCCTTACCCCAGGGTCTTGCTCCTTTTCCAGCACAGGAGAAACCTCCCTTTCTCAGGTTTCTGGGGAAGGGCTTTGTTGGAGACAGGGGACGAGTTAGCCCTTCCTCCCCCTTCCGTTCTCTCTCTGGCTTCTAGACGAGACGCTGTTAAAGATGGACGAGGTCGGGCACATCCCGCAGACGCTGGCCAGCCACGCGAGCCGGCCTGCCGACAGCGCGGGCGGCAAGGCACACCCCGCTGACATGTTGAAGCCTGACCCCCGGGACACTCTTTACAAAGGTGAGGCTTGCACAGGGCTTGAGGAGGGAGCTGCAGCCTGCCCCAGCACGTGCAGAACAGCTGACAGAGGCTGTCCTCCTATGCCGTGGCTGTCAGAGGCCACCCCTTTTCCTCCCCAGCACAGAAGAGAGGAGGAGCATGCAACATCCTCCACTCTTAAGAGACAAAGCACAGAGTAAACCCTTCTCCTCTTTTTTTTAAGAGTCCAGCTCACACAATGTCCCCAAGCATATTTTAGTCTAAGTGCTGTAGAGCAATGTGAATAAATGTACTGTACTAGCTGCTTTGCTGTATGTATCTGATAGCATTTCACATGGATAAATAGACAGCAGGCCCAGAAATATCTATGCTCATGCATCAGCTGCAGCAGGGTCCCTCCAGCAATGCTTGCCAACCTGTTTCTTCTTCTCAGTGCCTCTGCTCAGCAAGTCCCGCCTGCGCCGAGCCCTGCCAGACTGCCCCTACAAGCCCAGCTACCTGGTGAATGGGTTTCCTCTGCAGCGCTACCAGGGCCTCCAGTTTGTAAGTTTTATTCCGTGAGCTGGTGTTTGCTCAAGGGGATGAGAGAAGGAAGGAGGGAGACCCTATTAACCATGGGCCACCCATCTGAAGCTCCTGGGCAGATTTGACCATCTGCTCTTCAGGTCTTCAGCATCCCAGTACGTGCCAGAGGGCAATGGGAAGAGAAGGGAGATGGGTGCTACGTGCTGCTCACTGGTCCCACTGGGGTACAAGTGTGTGTGTGTCCTACAGAGCCCTTCAGACCTCAAGCACAAACGGCTGGGCACCTTGCAACCATGGCTGGGTCACCTTATGAATGGTATCTGGCACTGACAGGGGTTTTGCTTTATCTTTCTTCCCAGGTTCATTTATCCTTTGTTTACCCAAATGATTACAGCCGCCTGAGCCATATGGAGAAAGACAACAAATGCTTCTATCAGGAAAACCCATATTACTTGGAAAGGTAGGATGCTGCACATGGGAGGCAGCATTTCCTAGCAGGGAGGGAGGAGGCAGTTTGAGGGCTGGAAGTAAGGTGGAATTTCATATTCAGTTCTTTAGGACTCAACTTAAAGATCGCTGAAGTCCTGCAAAACATTAAAGCACTTGTAGTTTCTTTGGATGGCCAGTGCTTCCTTTACGTGAAATTATGTTTAGGTCTCGAAGGGAAACGGCTGCCACTTTTCTTGCTCTATTAACCAGGAAGCTGGGTCAGAGCATATTTGTTCCAATGCATCAGGGAACGTATTTGCCAGCAAACCTTGCATGCCAGCAGCTGGAGCCTCCTGATGGCTGTCACTGTTTGTGCTGAAGCCAAACCATGCTCACAACCAGCTGTCTCTCTGGAGGGATAAAAACATGGAGCTTATCCTCACCGAGGTCTGGCTCCAGTGATGGCTCTGCGAGGGAACCACCACTTGCATGTTCCCTGGCCACAGGGAAATACCTCGTGTGAGGATTCCCCTGCTTTCAGGAGGAATTGGCAGCAGAATAAAGAGTTGCTTTTCCAAAGAGATAGCTGGTGGAGGCCTCCTTGTGCTCAGGATCGTCTTCCTTCCCACAGGTCTGTTTTGAGGGCTGGAAAGATAGATTTTATTGTAGGCTTGGGAGGGAACTGCTGGGACTGGGGTTCGTTGTGAAGGATGGAGAAGGTGGCTGCTGTGGGCTGGAAGGTGCCACACATGTTTTTTACTTTACAAACAGTTTGTATTATAACAGAATTTGGGAAGCGTGGGCCCATTCTGCTTGGCATCAAGCAGGTATGGAAACAATCCAAGGAGGGAAACCCCTCCCAAAAGCCCAAAACACAGGCACGTGATGGGACAGCACACAGACAGTGTGAAAAGAGAAAGGGAGAAAAGAGAGAGGGAGATCATGGCAGTTACCTGCCTGAGCCAGGCTGGCAGCACAATGCCTTAGGTACTACATTGTAAATGAGCTTTAAGGAGCAGTTTAAGGGAGGCTAAAGCAGTGTTTCAGTGTACTTACGTTGGAATTTCCTCTTGTGCACATGGAGCAGCACTCAAGAAAACGTCTGAAAAACTGGGATGATAATCAAGAAAAGCTGATTTCTTTGACAGTACAGAGTAAGATCTGATTGCCCCAAGATCTGAAAGAGGCTGATGATAATAGCCGATGACTTGCTGCAAAAGGAGAGTCTAGAGAGGATGGGTGGATGTGATCAGAGTAATTGGCCATCTCCTCTGTAGCGGTGGCAAGAATTTATTTGGAGAGGGCAAAGCAACTTTGATCAGGCTGGTGTTTTGTCCTTTCCTTTGCAGATTTGGATTCTACAAGTACATGAAAATGGACCGTCCAGAGAAGAACCTGGACTCTGGAGAAAAGACAGAGCAGCCAGGTAGGGGCTGGCCCTAGCATCAGAGCCAGGAGGATCCTTTTATCTGTCACTGCGTGTGTGTGATCCTCCAGCACCAGCTGAAGGAAGCTGATTTTCCATGCCGAGCAAGTCACACCCTTTCCCTGGTAGAGCTCGGTGGCTGGGAGGAGATTTTTGCTGTCACATTCACTTGTAAGGGCAGACTGTGGGGCCAACAAGTAGTGGGCTCTAGTGGACAACGTGGTGAGGCCTGTGACTTATCTGAGGAGCAATTCCAGCAAAAATGTGGGCAGAAACGAGAGAGCCAAACATGCAGTGTGGCAGCCTGTGCTCACACCTGCCCCACAAAGCTGTGGCCAGACCTTTAGCTGAAGGCTAAGCTGGACATCTCCACGGCCTTGGGTAACAGCGCTGGGTGTGGGGTTGGGAAGCGGAAGGAGGATGCCAGAGGTGTAACTGCGATTACTCCTGCAGGCTTCCAGGAGGGGAACCTGGACGACCTGCAGTACGGGGAGCAGGACGTGGAGAGCACTGGCCCCCCGGCACCCCCTGGCACGTGGCAGGCAGAGCCGACAGGCACCACTCCCAGCGGCGTGGTGGGCAGCGAGCATGTCTACGAGGACTATTCCCTCCGGGAGCGGCGGCGGCTCCTCTCAGTGGGTGACACAGGAGAGGCACCTCAGAGGAGAGGGATGAAAAGGGCCGGTGTCAAGACAGCCCCGCTGGCCGCTGCCAACCAAAGCCTCAGCCGGGCTGGCACAGAGAGCAACCCAGCAATGAAGAGATCCCACTTAAAAGCTGGCATCAAAGACAACTCCAAGAGCCCTCCACAGCATGCCAGGGTTGTCCAGGGCAGAGCACCTGCTAAAAAGCCTAACCCACCTCCTAGGAGCAGGTCGCAAAGGGAGGAGCCTCTCAGCTACACCAGGGACTCAGGGCTCAGGATTCCCAAAGGGCTGAGACCTCGATCAGACCTCGGCGCTGCAGAGGACAGGCTGCAGCCTGCAGGCACCGTGCAAACGAGGCGAGGAGGCCCAGGCAAAGCTGGCAGGCACCCTGTGGCCACTGCTGGCCCCAGCAAGGAGCCGGCACGGCTGGCACAGTGGCTGAACCAAGTGGAGGCCTACGTGGCTGAGCAGAAGGTGGCTGGTGGCAAGGACATGGGTGAGAGAGAGGCGCAGGTGGCACCTCTGGCAAAGGGCAAGTCGGGGCCTGTGGAGAGGGCAGCAGAAGAGGAAGAAGAAGAGGTGGATGGGGAGCCAGAGGAGGAGGATGAGGAGGGTTTTGATTATGTACCAGTGTTTGACCAGGCGGTGAACTGGGAGCAGACCTTCAGCACAAGCAACCTGGACTTCCACATGCTGCGCACCGACTGGATTGACCTCAAGTGCAACACGTCAGGAAACCTGCTGCTCAAAGAGAGGGAGGCCCTGGAAGTCACACGTGTCTTCCTCAAGAAGCTCAACCAAAAGAATAAAGGGTAAGGCACGGTGTGAAAGCCAAGGGACAGTGTCCTGGAGCTTGTGTACCATGCTGCACAGGGAGCACCTGTGATGTGAGCAGCTAGAATGAATCGGAAGATAAACTAGATTTGGAAATTAAAACTTCAGGCAAGGATTCTATGTAAAAAAATGGGCTTTAAACACCTCTTTGAGCTGGGAAATTGGAATTGTTGGACACCAGATCATGTCTGAGGGCTGAATATCACCCTCCAAAAGCTGGTGGCCATAAATGTGAAAGATTTCAGTCCAACTGGCATCACTGACCCTTTGCTGGCTTCCTCTTTGCACAGTGTAGGCATTGAGAGCGCATAGGGGCATCTTACCAGCTGAGGATTAAGAAACCCTGCTGATATGAAATAGGACTGGGGCTCCTTATGCACGTGGTTTAATGCCTGTCACCCCTCAGTTTGTGAATCCAGCACCATTTAGGGCATAGGATCGGAAGGGAGCAGTCAGATGTTGTGGATCAGTATGCTGACCTCAGAAACAACCAAGTATTTTACCCTGTATCTGAACATATGTACCTCCATGTTAGAACTAGTTAGATTTCTAGATCCTAGCACTGATTTGGGAAGATGTCCCAGCTTCTCACTGCTCTGATGACCCACTGGAGATCGGCTTTCTCTGCTATTCTGTATTTACATTGCCCTGATAAGGTTCTTCTTCTTGCTGAGACTTATCATTTTGATTGCCTTTCTGGCAGACAAACATACCTCCTGTGATCCTCTATAAGCGTCCAGCTTTCCTTCCCCTTCTGATGAGTTGGCCTCTATTTCCATGATCTTCTTATCTATCCTTTTCCATGCTTGTTTCAGTCTGGGTTAGCTTTCCTGGCCATAAATGGCCAATATTCTAGATTTTTTATAGAATGCAGTTATTAGTTCTTAATCCCTGCTGGAAATAGCTCTCATGCTACCTCTTACAATTGTGTTTGTTTTTTCAGGGTCAGATCAGTCTCAGTCATGGTGTAAATGATAGGTACTCCCAAGGTTTTCTTAGCATTTTTAACTGACGAGCATCCATTTTATAGCAGAAATTCGTGTTATTATCTAAAAGGACACGATTTGGCGTTTCATTCCATTTCGGCCATTCTGGACCTGCAGCTCATCCCAGTCTTTACTGTAGGATTGCTCAGTCTTAGTCCATGGTATTGGCTGATAAGCTGTCATCAGCCAATTTCACCAACCCAGCCATGCTTCCTGTGCCAAGGTCTTTGAAAGAGGTGTTGAATACACTATTTACCAGCCCTACAATCATTCAGACATGTTTATTATTTTCTGTGTCACCTTTTATTTCATTTCCTTTGCCAACTATTTTCTCTTGGCCGGGATCCTGGGTCTAATCCCACGTGCTTGTGGATTTAGGAAACAGGTGCTAAGCCTTCCCATGGGACTTCTAACCCAGGAGGAAAGAGCCTGGCAGAGCCAAATGAGCCGAGCAGGGAGGAGGTGGGAGAGGGGCTGGTGGACAGGGGACGTGCTCACCCTGGCTGTGTCTCCTGCAGGCGGTTCCAGCTGCAGCGGATCGTGAACGTGGAGAAACGCCAGGACCGCATGCGGGGAAGCCGCTACCTGCTGGAGCTGGAGCTGCTGGAGCAGGGAGAGCGCCTGGTCCGCTTCTCCGAGTACATCTTTGCACGGGGCTGGCAGGGCGTTGGCGGTGACGAGGAGGAGGAGAGGAACATGAGGAACCTGGCGTGGGGTCGCCGGCGGCACCTGATGGCCGTGGCCAAAGAGCCAGAGCTGTGCTGGCCCCAGGGCTTTTCCTGGAACCACCGTGCCGTGGTTCACTTCGTGGTGCCAGGTAAGAGGAACCTACCCTCATGGGATGTAAAAGGCTCAGAGAAAATCCCTGTCACACCTTGGGGGAAAAAAAAATAATAATAAAAAAATACAAATTTCTGGGCTCTTTGGTCTAAGTTTTCAGCCTGGACCTATTTCAGCATCCCTGCAATGTTGTCAGGGCTTGAGGCAAGAAGCCTTGCTTGTTGAAAGCCATGCCATCTTTGAAATCAGTTTCCCTTTGGTTCTCCCCCTCTTGCAATACAACCAGTGAAAAACCAGGCACGTTGGGTGCTGCAGTTCATCTCTGACATGGAAGAGCTGTTCCGAGTCACTAAGGATCCTTACTTCAACGTCATCATCACGGACTACAGCAGCGATGACATGGATGTAGAGAAGGCTCTGAAAAGGTCTAGCTTGCACAGGTGAGGGTGCTGGCTGATCACATAAAACTACTCACAAGTATACTCCTGCAAATGCAGCACATCTGCAAATCTCTGTGCATTGGCCATCCACAGCCTCCTGCAGCTGGAAACTGGGAGATGATACCCTTGCATGTGTACATGCTTATATTGTATAATGTGCTTACATGTATGCTGCTATAATATTGTTATAAAACTCTAAGGCAATACCTGTTGCAGTCATCCATCCAGGTACATCTCTTTTCTCCAGGGTTTTGTTCAAGTTTGCAAGAGAGGACAGAGAGCAAGTTATACAGTGATGGGGGAGAGGGAAGCCAGAGAAGACAAGAAAGTTGTAAGAAATGAGCGTGGAGACTTCAGGGACTCCTCTTGCTGGAATAGCTCTGTGGTTTATTGTATTCTGACCTGAAGCAGCCTTGGTTGGTCCTTTCCAGTGCTAGGGGGTCCCAGAGATATCCAACAAATAGAGCTGCCAGGACTTTTGCTGAGGACTGCCCTATTCTTGCTGGATATGTGAGAAGACCCTCAGGGCACACTGGGCGCTGGGGTAGTGCTGAGCTTGCATGCTTGCCCAAAGGCTGTCCTCCTCGAGAGGGTGCACAGGGGTGAGGGACAGCTCCTCAGCATGGCACCCATGGTGTACTGCTGCTAGGGGTGCTTTCTGTGCTTATCAACCTGCACACACTGATCCTCTCTTTCCTGTCTGACCCCCAGCTATCGGTACTTGAAGCTGACGGGGAATTTCGAGCGTTCTGCTGGGCTGCAGGCAGGGATAGACCTCGTGACGGTAAGCCTGGGGAGCTGTCGGGTGGAGAGGTGGGTTTCTGGTATGTGTCCAGCACTACCTCTTGCCTTTCAGACTGAACATGCTGGTTTTTAGGGAACAGCCCAATAGAACAGATCAAACATAGTGTGTTTCCTGTCCCTCTGGAGTAAGGACCTCGCTCCTTTCTCTGAGGAGACCAGTCCCTGTGGTCCATGCAGAACTTGGCCCACCTGCTTAGACCGTGAGACAGGAGGGAAATCATCAGTAGCAGCTTCATGATATTGGCTCTGCATGATCATAGTTGTAAAATCTCATACTATTATTGAACAGCCAGCCAGAGGCAGTTCTGCCAGCCCCTAGGATTTCAGTTTCTGATCTACCAATGAGTGACTCTTCGGTTGACTCCCATATCTCTGTCTTCCTGTCCCCCAAGAAAGCCTCACTTAAAGTCACCCTGCTTTTTCCTAACTGACGTGGTTGGTTCCAGGATCCGCACAGCATCATTTTCCTCTGCGACCTCCACATCCACTTCCCTGCTGGCATCATCGACTCTGTCCGCAAGCACTGCGTGGAAGGCAAGATGGCCTTCGCACCCATGGTCATGAGGCTGCACTGCGGCACCTCCCCACAGTGGCCTGATGGTAAGAGGCAGCGGAGCCCCTTGTGCTCAGACCTCGGGGAATGGGGGAAGGAGGAGGGTGCCTGCAAACTCTAGATTTGGTTCTCCAGTGCTGTCAAGGTCTGGAGCCTAATGTCCTACCAGGGCCACCAGGTGAGAGTGCGTCAGAGGATGGTGTTTAACTGTGTTGGGTACTTGGCATTTGAGACCAGAGCCAAAAGAGCCCTTTTGATCTTTCTCCTAGTCATCTCTTAGAGCTCTCAGTGGATTTGAGTACCTCAAAGCCCCTCTTTTACTCCTTTCCATCAATATCTCTCTTAGAGGGTGCAGCCTGCCCTCTTGAGGACAGCTGCTAGCCCTGGGTTGAAGGAAAGCAACCCTCGTCAGGGGGAGGAAAGTGACATCGATCATCGGGGCATAGGATTTCCCTTAGACAGAGGTGGTCATCCTGAGCCCCCACAGAAGCAAATTAGCTTTGAGTCATTGATGGTTCAAAGCACCAACATGCCTGTGCCTCTTTTGTGCTGTCCTCAGGCTACTGGGAGGTGAATGGGTTTGGTCTTCTGGGCATATACAAGTCTGACCTGGACAAGATCGGAGGGATGAACACGAAAGAGTTTCGGGACCGCTGGGGAGGAGAAGACTGGGAACTCCTGGACAGGTAAGTATTCATTGTCATCAGCCTTGTGCTCAGGAGGGGAGACGTGTTAGATTACAGAAGAGCAGTGACCAGGGAGTGGGGATCTGAGGAGATGGAGGTGGTGAATGCCACCACCAGCTTGGGCAGTGAGGGAGAGTCTTTGAGGAAGTCCTGACTTCAAAACCAGCATGTGAGTGTACCCAAAATACAGCCAGTGATAAGAGAGGAGTTGTTTCCTAATGTCTTCCAGTCACGCTGTTGGTTGGTCGTGGGCAGATTGGGCACTGGTGATCATGGAGACTTTGTCTTCTTGAATCGATTGTCAGAGAGACATTTTAGGATCATGAAGTAGGGTTACAATTTCTGAGAAGTTTATGATGCGGGGCCTGTGCTGTACAAATCGTAGGCCTCAGGGTTTGTAGGTTGGGTTTGTAGGTTTCGCGGCCTCTCATGTCTTTTCTGTCAGCTCACTGAGGAAAAGTCTAACACCCTGAGCAGTCCCATGTTGGATTGATGGGATTTCCTCCTCGCCTGTCACACGCAGCTGGCCCGTGCCTGTTCCCAACCAGTCCTGCTCTCAGGGGTCTATAAACACTCATCAAGTGTCACTAGATGCCTGACTGTGGATAGGAGATACCCTGAGCTATGCTGGACTCTTGAACCTGGTTGTGGTGTGTTGACAACAGGACTGCTTAAAGGAGATCTCCCGTGCCTAAGCCCCCGGGTATCATTGTCATCAAGATTTCCCTGCATTCACCCTTCTCCTTTCCGGCAGGATCTTGCAGGCTGGGCTGGAAGTGGAGCGCCTCTCCCTGAGAAACTTCTTCCACTGGTTCCACTCGAAGCGGGGCATGTGGAACCGGCGCCAGCTGAAGACATTGTAGCCTTCAACACCGAAGCTGTCCGGCAGCACTGTCCACCGTCTCGCCCCAGCGTGCACTTTATTGAGGCACACAGCCAAGCGCACAAACTCTCCCTCTGCCCCCAGAGCCCTCCGGCAGGACGGCCCAGCTGAAGAAGGGACGGTCAGGCATGAGGAGCTTCTCTTGGGAGCCACTGCATCCAAAACACGGGATCCACGTCTTGCTGGGAAGCCGTGTGGGGAAGCTGTCACCCAGTGAAGTAGTCGTGTTCCCTGCCGTGTGGCCTGGTGGATGGCACAGCGGGAGAGGCGCCATATTTCCTGTCGAGTCTGGCGTGGTGCAGAGCAAACAAACAAAGCTCTCGGCTAAGCCCGGAATGGTTTATTTACAGGAATGCAGATTTTCTTTCAATACTTGAAGAAAAAAAGGGGAAAAAAATAAAATGGGAAAAAAAAACCCTCTCCTTCCCTCTCAACCCCTGCCCCATCTCTCTGGTATCCATACGTTTGGACAGGGGACCAAAATAGTTTCTCTGAACTGTATTGTGTCCACATGCCCGTGTGCTGACCCCAAAAAGATCTGGATGAGGAGGAGTTGATAGGCACTTTAGGCTGCTGGTGCTTAGACATTTCTCTGTGCTCTTCCCTTCAATCTTTATGAGAAACTGTGCTCATTCAGTAAATTATGGGCTGTGGATTGAGACGCAAGTACAGTTCCCAGGAGAGCCACATTTGCCTGCAGCTGAGCAAGGTGGCAGGGGTTGATGTTTCAGCTCTCCCTGAATTATTGATCCACTGCCTGAGGATAGTGGAGGGGTTATACAGAGACGCTAGGAGGGCATCTCAGGAGGAATTTTGCAACCTTATCTGACAGACATGCGTGTTTGTCCTTACAATATCAGGGAAACCCTAGCAGGGAGAAGTGGCAATATTTTATTAATTGAGATATTGTGATTTTGTTAGAAAAAAAGAGGAGACAGATTATTCTGCTCTCTAAATCCTGTACATTTATGCAGCATCTAAAGGTTAATTTAATAAGTTATGGCCTCAGAGTGAGGTCTTAGCATAGTTTGGCTTTTATCTAAAGAGCAGACTTGCTTGCATTGGTGGAAGAACTGGCACAGCTTCACTTCTGGAGCAGCCCTGGGCTGCTCCCCTGTCCTGCTACAGGGGAGGTGTCCTCAGGCCTTGGCACTTGTGCTGGGTGCAAGGAACAGTGTGGGCAGAAGAGGGTTGAGTGAATAAAATGATGGGCAGACCCTTGCTGGCACAATAAAAGAGCTGTGGGAAGACCCAGCCTGATGCTAGAGCAAATTCTCAGCCCCTAAAACTCCCACTAATGCAAGGCAAGATTTTTACCCCTAAAACCATTTTACAGGACTGCAGAAACCCAAAGATCCGCAGCAGCACAGTCAGCGCTCTGCACCGGAGCTTCAGGGTCCCTGCACGATGCTGAAAAGGCTGCTGCTGATCTCACCCTTCAGCAGGGAGCGTGGCATAGGATGCTGCTGACGGCTCCCAGCTCTGCGGGGAGCTGTTGAAAAGTGAGCGGTGGAGGCATGCAGTGTACGAGCGATGCTGACACGGCACTGGAGTTGTTTGCGTTCAGACTGATGGAGTGGATGCCAATTCGGAATCGGTGTTCACTTGTTATTAACTCCATGGTGCTTGGAGAGCCCATCAGGTTCCACTATTGCAGCAGAAAGCTGAACATGCAAGTCCTGGCACGTGAGATGTAAATCCTGTCAAATCATCTGGTTGCCTCAGCCTGGGCTGCGGGACTGATGGAGTCAACCCGATTTAAGGAAGCTTCCGTGTGCAGCTATGGTGAGAAGTATGCGAGAGACTGCTCTGTCTCTCAGTCCATGGAGTCTTTGCCAGAACATAGACACTGAATATCTAAGAAGAGGCAGCCTCAGCCTTCTGCTCGAGCCAGAGCAGTCTTTTTAATGAGGGAAGGTATTCCCTCTTCCTATGGAGACACTAAGGAACAAAATGCTGCCCTTGGGTGGAGGGGGAAGAGGCTGACAGCCATCAACTTTTTTTTTTTTTTTTTTTTTTAATGCATTATGTGAGTTTAGGAGGCCAGAGCCCGGGGATGTAGTGTTGCAATAAGCTCTGTTTCTGCCTGGAACACGCCGTGTCGGTCGCGCTTTCGTGTCGGAGCCTGCGCTTCACTCGCAGACACAGGCACAACCTCGTGAGCACGCAAGTGAGATATTCTCCAGACACCCAGGCTGTGCTCGCAGCTTGTCCGGGCTGGCTCTGTCAGGCAGCTCCTGCGGCACGGGGAGAGGCTGGCAGAGGGGGCGAGCAGCGGGGACGCAGCCAGGCCTTAGCAGCTTGGCCCCGTGAAGCAGAGAACGGTGTTGTGCCCGTTCTGCAGATGGGGAGATGGTGGATTTGGTGGCAACCCTGACGTCAGGTGCGGGGAAGGTCATATATATAGAATATATGATAATGAGTAACTCCTCCTCCTCACCAGGGAGGATAACCAGCAAAGAGGGGACTAGAAAGCAGGGTGCAACCCTCACTGCAGAGCTGTAGGATTTTGTCCCCGTGCTTTAGCTGGCCAGGTGACTGCTCCGTCCTGCACGCCTGTAACCCAGGCCAGGAGCAAGCAGAATTTCTTACCTCACAGGGTCTCCTTGGTGGACATGGAAGGAGTTACTGGGGTCCGGTCCAATTTCCTAAGGGTCGGTGTCCCCACTGTAAAAACTGCCATCACAACTGCTCTTCTGTTCTTAGCACAATGGCCATTCTTTGTTGGTATTTGAGCATCGCAGTGGTGAACACGATTAATAAATACTAATTGGCACTACTTGGCAGTCCCCGCGGAGGAGCTTGCAGAGAGCCCATGGGGCCAGAAGCCATCCTCCAGCCCAGGAGCTCAGAGAGTGCTGCGGGTTGCAAGCAGAGGACGGGCTACAAGTGATCTTGCAGGAGAAGTGCCAGGCTGCTGCCCCTCTTCCTAAACAACCTGCAGCTTTTTCCTCCCCTCCAAACGGAGAGATGAAGAGTTGGGCTCCCTGCTGCTGCAGAGAGGGGATCGGCACAGCCCCCACAGTGCTACAGGGAGCCTGGCTTCCACGGGGCGCGTGCATCCTGGCCACGTCCTGTCTAGGAGGCAGGAGGAAATGGGTTGCACACCACGTCCTTCGTACCAGCTGCACAGGCAGGGAGGGAGCTGCTGTGGTAGGCAGCTGGGGAAATGGTGGGGCACGCTGCAGGAACAGGCTTTCCCCGCAGCAGGATGTGGCCAGGCTGGGGGCACGAGGGCGGGCGGCACTGCAAGGTGGCTCTGCCCACAGGAGCCAGCTCCACCGTCAGGGCTTTTTGGTTCCCCAGTGTGTTTGGGCCTGAGGTTTGTTTTGCGGCTCAGCAACGGGAACCAAGAAGGACTGAGAGCTGCATTGTGTGAAAGCAGTAATGTGACTTGTTGTGTCTTTAATGTTTGCCCGGTATGAACGTCTATCTCGCTTCTTTTCATTGCCTAAAAACGTCTGATGTTGTTCACTTTTTAGATACTGATGCCTTGTGTTAAAAATTGAGATTGTACCTAGGAATCATCTGCCTTAAAGTGGCTCTGTGCCTTCAAGACAACCCCTGGGCCACCTCTCTGTCAGAACTGGGGGGATGTCCCGGTTCTCCCCCACGTTTTATAAATACATGGTCTTCCTACAAGAGCTCAGTTCTGTCTGCGTGTTTCTTGCACACCCACATCACCCACAGCAGAGGTTAGGAACCAGATGTTGCTCCTCTGGCCTCACGTCACTGAGGCTGTAGGCAATGAGATGCTGCAGTGAGGCTGGCCAGGAGCAAGACCTCTTGTAGACCTCTGGAGGCAGGGTGCCCTAGAGAAGGGGGTGGTAACAAAACAGATTTTCTCCTGTCTTGTCTCCTTATCCCATGGAACAGGGCAGAAACATGGGACAAATGAGTGCCCCAGCAAAGCAGCAGTGCTGTGGACAATTGTGCAGAGAATGAAGTTGTCTCTCCTGCGAGCAGGGGATGATTCCTGCAGAAGGCTGCAGGTGAGAGCCTAGACCCAAGCCGGGTGCTTGGCACTACCTGTGCCAATGGGCAGCCAGCTCTTTAATGGCAGCTGCTTACTGGGATTAAAATTCAGCCCCTTTTTACTTCAGCTCTGCCTCCTGTGGGTATAAAAAGCTTGGCACAAACGGGGGTCAGACAGAGAGAAGGAAAAAGGCAGCCAAGGTTGCTAATGACTCCGATCCCATTAAAATGGGGAACGGTAATTCAAGGTGACAGGGGAGAAGCGTTCCAGCACGCTGCCAGTCCTCTGCTCCCCTCTGCCAGCTATCGGGAATCCCTCTCCACGCGGGCCAGCCTCGCTCGCCGCCGTACCTGACTTGGCAGCTCTCTGAGACCGTGATGCTGAAGTTAAAGGTCTGGTAATGAATTTCCCCTTGCTGCGTCTTTCTCAGATGAGCCTTTCTTTTTGTTGCATTCACTCATCAATGCTAACTGCTTTGCTTGGAGCAGTGACTGACAGGATTTGGGATCTGCAGACAGGGTACACAATTTTTTGCCCTTTCATCAACCCAGCTGGCCAGCAGTGGCCCTTTGCTGATGGTTTTCCAGCATTTCTGCCTCTCCAGTGAAGGCTGTCTCTGGAGTGAAGGGTCTCTCTGGAGGAGAGCAGGGTAACAGAGGCATCTCAGGTACACCCACCCCCATTTGCTGTCGGTATCAGCAGAGACTGAGGACCAAGACAGGCAGCAAACTCCCTGCCACCCCAGACCTGTCACCCCCAGGACAAAGTGGCAGGTGAGTCTTTGCCTGATGCACAGAACAGACCAAGACGGTGCTCAACTTCGCTAATTAAAATTCTGGAAAGTAACATAATTGTTCTTTGCCACCTGCACTTTCTACACAACTGCCCTGCAGCTGCAAAAAAGCCCCTGTGATTTGCAGCCACAACCCGATGTTGCCTGTAGCCTTACTCAGGTGCTGTTGTTGGCAAGGTCGCTCATGATCTCCCTGCAAAAGAAGGGCCACCCCTAAACAGAAATCTTGTTCTGTGAACTCAGATATGGAGTATAAATGGAATCTGCCCGTATCTTTAAATATCTTATCATATAATATTTTTTGAAGTGTCAGTCACTCCTGGTAGCTCCTGAAGACGGGTATGTGGAAATTTCCATGTCAGTTCTTTCCCAGTGGTGGTAAGAGCATGCAAAATGAAACAGCCAGATTGATTCTGCCATACGAAGGAAAAAAAAATCATTTAATAATCAGAAAAGCATAGAATTATTTAAATAGGATTATGCCAGGCTACTAAAATATCAATTTTAGCATGATTACATCATTACAAAATTTAGGATCCACTGTTTTTACTCTGAAGAAAATCTGAAAAATCAGTAATTCAAAGACATTTTATAAGGAAAAATGTTGCAGTAGAAGAGAGTTCCCAATATTGTTAATGTGAAGATTAGGTATTTAAAAACATATATGTTAGCGATAACACCTTATATGATGGTGATTTATTTATAAAGTAATACACTATTCATTTGTCATTTCCCATCGTGGCAATTAAGCCTAGGATGCCTCATTAGGTATAATGTTTTTCTCCTACCTATTGTCAGGCTGCTCAGACAGCATTCCTGATGGGTCCCTGGCAATGACATAAGATCATAATATTTTCTGTCATTGTTACTTTCCCAATGCTGGAAATATATGATTGTTTTCATAACTGTTTCTCATTTAATTTTATTTTTAAACAACTAGGAAAATAGTTGAACTCTTTTTAGCCATGCTGACATACACACACTTCCCTATCCTCCCATGAGAACATTTTTTTTTCGTTTGAGAAATCTGTTCCTACATTTGGGAGGTAAACTATTAGACAGCACTGCTTTAAATATAGCAAATTATGCCTGAGCCAAAAAGCTGGACATTTTCTGTTTATTTATCCTACAAAGTAAATTGTCCGGTCTTCTCTACAAAATGAGCCAATGCTGGATATGTGAAGCAGGCAGCTAAAATACGAGATGAGATTTACAGAAGTACGCTTTGAAATCGTGTACCTGCTGCTGTTCCTGCAGCTTTCTCTAGAAATCGCTGCAAAGTTTGCTCTAGTTTCAGATAGCAGTGGAAGCTGTCACCCTTGCAGAACTGTGTGAACGTCACAGCAAGGGGCTGCCATGCCAGGAAGCGCGGACAGGTTCGGAAAGTTTCACCCGGTTCTCTGCATTCATTGACGGGGTCCTGCCAAGGTGGTGCATTCACAGAGGGGAGCTTCCAGCCACCTCCAGGCACGTGGCTCAGGTCCTGCGGGACAAACAGAAACACCGTAAGGTCGGGGCAGGCCCCTCCATGCCACACAGGCAGGGGGGCACACAGGATGGAGCAGGTCACTCGGCACCACGGCCACCGCTGTGCGTGGGGGCTGCAGCTCCTCAGCGCTCCCACCCCGCTAGGCCCCAAGGCAGCGGTGTTTTATGCAGGATTTGGGCCTTCACGGTGAGTCCCAAATGCTTCCTCCCTCGTCGTGTCATGCCTCTATCAAGCTTTCTTGCTGGCTGTTGCCCCAGTTTATTCCTTCTAAGCTGTGTTTACACATGGCAGGACAAGTAAGCAAGACATTCGAACTTTGCTTCTTGACCTAAAGGACTTTTGACCTAAGAAGTTGCCATTCCTTCATCTGACCTGACTTCTGAACCCGAGTGTTTGGTTGGACTCATCCACAAGGCTCTCTCCTGAAAATAAGTTAGCTTCTTAAAATGGTCCCCGCCAAACCACACTGAGCATGGTTAAGAGCCCGTTTCCCCACTGCCTCCCAGGCGCCTTCCCTTTTTTCTACTCAGATAATGCTGCATCTTTGGATACCTCCCAGAACGAGCCCAGTTGTCTTTCCCAGATTTAGCCCTAGATCACAACTGCTATTGGTATGTAGCATGAGATCCACAGTCTTCTGAAACCCCATCAGTCAGGGTGTTTGGTGTTCTCGCTTTACAGACCAAGCAAGGAAATCCTCCTTCTCCCATTGAACAAGGAAATTGTTCAATGACCCTGGGTGCCCGCAGGACAACAGCATGCCCCTAGAAAGGCTTTGTGTGTCCGTGCAGCATTGCCTTCCACCTTTCAATGATGCTGAGAGCCCCTCCAGGGGCTGGCAGTGATGGGGACTCACCCCTTTCTTACCTGGCTCCATTGCCCCTTGACTTAATAAGGTCGAAAATTCCTGGTAGGGTAGAGGCCTGTCTTCTGCACCCCAAAGGCTGTGATGAAGATGTTGATGATGACTGTGATGAAGATGAGAGCCGTGGCAGTATTGTTGAGTATATTCAGGCGGGGTTGCTTTGCAACGTCATTCAGGTTCAGGCGAGCTGTGTGATTTGGTGCAAAAACAAAACGTGATTTGTGTCTTGACTGCAAGTCCCCCAGCCCCTGCACACCTTCCCTGCTTGGTAAATGTCTGTCATGGCCCTGGACACAGCAGCCACAGAGCTGGGGGAATAGTCCCAGGAGCTTTACAGTGGCCACAGCCTTCCCTACAACAAGGTAGGAGGGCAGAGCAGGGGAAAACCACCTTCTTTTTATGTCACCTCTTTTTGCCATGTAAATGCCATGGCCCTACAATGGCCAACCCAAAGCAGCCGAGTCACTGCTGCATGCTGGCCAGGCACGTGCCACAAGACACCCACTGCATGGCCGTGGGATGTGCCAAGGTAAGGCTGGGTGATGCAGGGGACAAGGCTGGAAACATCCTGCTGTGGTTGGGCCTCAGGACTTTCCGTGGCCTCAGATCCCATATCCCATATAAGAAAGCATATAGGATATACAGGAAAAGGTATCATTCTGCTCGCTTTTAATAGTGGGCACATGTTGGAGACTCAAATGCAAGAACTCCCATGTCAGATGGAGCACTGGGCAAGCCTACCTGAAACACTGGTGTTAACATACTGTCTATGTGGCAGTAGAACTGTGGAATTGGTTAAATGTGAGGATAATGAAGAGTTAATGAATGAATGGCTTGGGGAAAGGGGCTTCTCCCTCCCACCCCTTTGCCAGCAGCACCGTGCAAGGGCATGCACATCTCGACAGCCACCTTACCGCTGATGATGAGGAGAATCCCGATCACCACCTGGAAGAAGAGGGAGATGCTGATGAGCACGATGAGGGTGATGTAGTACTGGAAGGAAGCCCCCTGCTCCAGCACTGCCTTGAGCTGGGTGACGTTCGCCATGAACAGCGCCACGTCCAGCATGCTCTCCGCCACGCTCTTCTTCGTCGCGTAGTGGTTGATGTTCATCGGGCCGCTCATCCGGAGGTGAGGATTCGTGCCCTGGGGAGGAGAGAGAAACCACGATTCCTAAGTCAACAGGACCCTCTATTCTGCCTTGTCATGGGGTTTATCTAGAAAGCCTGGGAAAGTTACAGCTTCATGTTTTAAACCTGGTGAGAGCACCCAAATTTCTCTCACAGTCGTCTCATGGTGTTAATAGGCACAAAACACAAGCAGTGATCAAGATCTCAGCAAGGCTAGAAAAACACTGGGAATTTGTGTGGAAAACAAGCTTGTCCAGAGATAAAATAGCATAGATTACCCAGAGACAGGGATTTTACAAGCAATATTAAATTCTCTTCCTTCAGGGCACAGACAAGCCTCAAACTTCAGGGGGCTTAAAGAGAGATCTTCTTTTTCAGTCGGGTTTTCAAAGGGCTGTCAGTGGCTCGGCTTTGGATCTTCTCTGAATGCTTGTTCCTAGCTACTAGCTTAGACAAAATACTAGAGCAGATGTGACAATCCATGTTTTTTTTTTGTCTGTTTCTGAAACCCATTTCTTCAAAACGTCAGGCACCAAAATGCTTGGAGACAAGGGGTGGGATTCATCACACCTAACCTGAACTAACCATTCAGGTATGGTTTTTGTCAGGGGAGAGAAACAGGTATTTACAAGGGATAGGTCATCTGGTTGCTTTTAACCTAATTACAAGGTGTAGGTCATCTGGCTGCTTTTAGCCATCCACTTTTTCTCTATCACCCTTAAGTAAGCTCCTCCATCAGCTGCCTTGCCCCAAATGATGAAAGGACAACGAGATGGAGGAGACAAGTGTTTTCAGCTTACTCAGAGTGCCATCAGCTGATTAAAAACAAACAAACAAACAAACAAAACAAAACAAAACAAAAAACAGCAAAGGCAACAATAACAAAAGGTTTGAATATATCTGCAGCAAGCTATGATCATTGTCAAAAATAAATTAAAAAAAAAATCGATAACAACAATGTGCCAATGTAGCAGACAGGCTTCAGTTCTGGGTAATCAGCCTCCTGTCAGCTGTTAGTGAGTGAGGGTTGGCAGCCTTGCCCTCAGTGCTGATGGACGACCCTATAAATCTGGAGAAAAGGGCCAGGTGTGGTTCTGAAGGGCCTTTTTTGTTCAGAGTGGCAGAAGAGATGTCTCCAGGCGTGTACTGGAAGTAGGGCTGTGCCTTTGTCGAGTGGTGAGTGCTCCTTTGGTCCATTTGTCTCTGATAAAGCACAAAATGTAATCTTTTCCTCCAGGCAGAGCACTAGAGAAAAATGATGGCTAGTGCTCCATGCTGCTGCCTCTGGTCTCCTTGTGTGTCCCTGGGCAACGCTGGCTTTTCCTGCGCTGAGCAGAGCCAGCAAACCTGGGAGAGCCTTGTGCGGGTTTGTCATTGCGATAGGGACCAGGTTTCAGAGGGGGGTTGTGGCTATGCCAGATACTGCCCTTGTGTGAGGAAAGATGTGCAGGAAGGGTTATGTCCTGTTGGAATGAGTGATGAAGTGTGGTCACCTATGAAGGGGCCGGCTTTGGGGGTAGGAATGTGCTTTTGAGGATATTTATTTATTTTTTTGATAGTTTCAAGCACATAATTCTTGTGGTTTCTAATCCTGAAGCAGCTGTGGTTAAGAGGCTCTTTTGCAGAGCCTGTATTTCTTGCTGTGGAAAGCAGAAGGTAAAGGATGCTGGAAGGAGATAAAAGTAGAAGAGTGGGGAGCCTGTAAAAACTTTAAGGCAGTGGGGGGGCAGGGGTTCAGGGCTTCTTAACATTGCTGTCTGATGTCTGGGGCAACAGAAAAGAGGTATCATGTCTGGGAAAAGGAGGCCAGCAAAAGGTCTGACTGTGGGAATATCTTAAAATCCTAGATTTAGGTATGACCTGCTCTCAGCTGACTTACAAGTACATGAGCCTGTCACAACAGAGTGACGCCCACACCCAGTAATGCCAGGTTTGAGACTTGGTCTCTTTTAGCATGTTTTCATCCTCATCTCTGAGGTCTGCCTTCTGCCCAGCAGCGCTACAATGCTGGGCATTGACAATTTATCTCTGTGTAATGATGAGTTAAGGATGCCAGAACAAGGACTCTGTACAAACCAGACAAAGCTTTTGTCAAACAAGTGACTGGCACAAGGAGGCTGAGACATCTGTTCCCAGCAGCTTATGTGGAGACAAATAAGGCAAGTCAGTCCTTTTTGAATAAAATCTCTTCCTCCTCCTGAGCTGCCAGCTCCTTTACCTGTAGCGAGAATTGGGGCAGAGTTGCAATGTGCTGAGCTGTGTCACAGACGAACAGGCTATGAAAGTAGTTTTCATGTGGTCTTTTCTCATATGAGTGAGCATAATGGCATGCACCTCTGTTCAGGAGATGATATAGCAGGCAGGAAAAGCTGCTGCTCTCCTATGTGGAGCTGCTGGATCTGGGAAATCCTTGCACTGAGCAGTTAAAAAACAAAAAACAAACAAACAAAAAAAACCCAAGTGATTCCTGTTATGAAGTTCTGTTGGCCCTGACCTGGTAGATCAACAAAGGTGGCCAAAAGGTTACTAGATGGTGAAAGCTGGGCGCCAGGCTTATGCGAAGGCAGCTAAGCAATCAGCCAGTCTGCAGAAGTGCTTACACTGCAGAAGGCCTATTGATTGCAGCTAAAGTTAGAGCAATCCAGCTCCTCTATGGATTCCGCCCTTACCGAGTGCTCTGTCTGGCCCAGCAGCCACAAATGCAGACCTGGAGTGTCCGATAGCATGAGGCTTAAGCAGAGCAGCAGTCTTCAGAGAGCTGGTGTTTCGATTGCTGTGGGAGGATGGCATTGACGGGGTGCCAGTGCTGTAGCTGGCACCAGCTAACCACTGCATCTGTGGGCAAGGGTAAGAAAGCTGTGACTGTCTCTCGTGTTTTATTCCTGGGCTGCTGCTGTGTGTGCAAAGCTCTCGAAATGGGACCGATGCTGCTCTTGCTTTGCCTCAAAGTTCAGTCCTCTGATGGCTGTGCTCCAGGAGCTGATTCATGAGCAGCTTGTGTTTCCCGCAGCAGGATTGCCCAGGGAGCTGCAGGGGGTTATGTGGGATCGCTGGGGAGATTGTGATTCCCTTTTGGCAAGCAGAGACCTAAGGCAAGCCACAGGATGTACCTGAAGGCTTATTAATGTGACTTAGGTCATCAGGGCAGAGCTGGTGTCTTTCTAGTCGCGTTGAAAGTGTGCCCTCCTGAGAGTGGGGATCACTGCAGTATCTTCTGGATGTCTTGGCTTTCTGTATGAGACAGCCGTATTCCCCTACAGAGCCTGGGCAAGCCTCAGTCTGACCTCAGGCAAATCGTTTTTGCTTTCTCTTGTGTAAATGTGGCACAGTCACGCAGATCACTGAAGGGGCTGAGTGAGGCACCCAGCGATGTTTTATAACCGGCTCTATTTTTACTCCAAGCACTCCTCTACAGACACGTGCGCTAATACTTAGCTTCCAACTTCTACTTTTATTTTTATCTTTTTTAGGAATTGGTTTACAAAGGAGGAGCAGAATATCACCACAAGTGTGTGGGGCCTACCACTTTTGACACGGGGAGCTGTCAGGCCGCAGGGCCTGTGAAGCCTGGCTCTGGCACCAGAGGGCATGCTGGCCTACACAGCTGCCTGGCGCTGCTTTGCTAACTAAATCTACCTGAAAATTTTCCACTGAAATTAGTTTTCAAGGAAATTCTTTGCTTTTTATTATTTATTTTCCTTTAAGAAATAGCTACCTTATTATGAAAGCCTTTGGAGAAGGTTCACTTACACTTTTTTTTTCCCAAAGCTTGCAGGTCTGCTGCAGGGGGTGAGGGGCTGAAACATTTTTTAAGTTGCTTGGAAAAGTTCTGCAAAAACCTGTGGTTGCTCTTGTATTTTTCGAGGGGAAGGAGGGGGGGAACACAGAGCAGATCTAATTGCAAAACCTGTGGGTTTTGTGACCCTCTCCTTGGGGGAGGAGAGGCTGAAAGAGACAGTGGGACGGGGTGAAGTTGAGAAGTATGTGGATGATAATCCTCTCCGTGGGAGCGCTCTGGCAGAGGGGCTGTCTGAGGAGCAGCTATATTACCAGCCGTCCTTTCCAAGGGAAATGCTGGAGGGTGCCAAAGCAAACAGAGGCGTGAAGGCAGGTCCTGCACGCAGAGGGGTAGGTGCGGAGGCTCGCACTGCGGGGATGGCAGCTGATAAACAGCCGCACACAGGCGAGCACACACAGGCACGCACCGGGCATCAGGCACCAGGGAAAACCCGGGGTGTTTTTCCACAGTATTTGCCAGTTGGCAGCTGCAGAAGTACTTCGTAAACATCAGCTGCTGAAGGTTAAAGCACACAGAAACTCATCATTTTGCAAGGCAGGAGAGGAGCACTGTTTCCCTTCTGCACGCAGGAGGCAGAGATGGAAAGCCCTGCTCTAAAGCCCTGCTCTAAGTCAATGCTTCTGTGTGCACGGTTATTAGCTGCTCTGCTTTTCCAAGCTCAGTTCCTGCAGCTCCAAATCACTTCACTTGGGATGAAGGGAGCCAATTTTAATATTTTTGGCATATATGCCATGTCTGGGCACTTGGCAGTGTTGGTGGCAGCACGGGGAGCAGCAGAGATGGCCAGACTCCTGCCCCCCAGCAGGTTGTACGTTTGTATGTCTGTCTGCAGAGGAGGGACATGCAGAGAGCACTCTGGTCAATACCAACTGTCTTGCAGACCCTGTGAGATGAGGACTGGTTATCTCCTATTTAGCCTGGCAGCAAGCACCCTGGCTGTGTTCCACAAGCAGAAGTTAGAGCAAACCCTGCCATGGCTGCTGCAGGCAAAATGAGAGCTGAGCGTTCAGGGCCAGTCCCCCTCCTCGGCCTCTGCAGGGTCTGTCAGCTCGTCCAGTTGTGCTTAGGGTTTTTTTGTTTTTAATATAGCCATCTGTTCTGCTCGCTGGGGGTCCTGTCCAGAGCCAAATGGTTGTATTGCCTTCAATTCGCATTGGATGAACCCCCGAAAATAAGTCAGGGATGCTTTCCTTGTATCTCAGGCTCTGCCCCTATGCAGGAGCGGTTCTGATCAAGACCTTTGTGATCTTTCTCTGAGGTGCCCCCACATTTCTGTGACAGGGCACTGCTCAGTGTAAAACTGACCCCAGTGGTTTAGATGAGCTTTCTTCAACCAAAAAGCAGCCTCCAGTGCAGAGGGATAGTGCCTCTTCAGAAGTGGAAACCCAGGCAAATGGCCAGCACAGATCCTGCTTGCTTGCTAAGCACCGTTCATGTTCTCCAGTCTCACTGAACTCTCCACTCGCTTTATCCACCTTCTGTATCTCATCTCACACCCACGTGCAAACCCGGTGAGCTTTCTTGGGCAGAGATGTCACCGCAGTGCAGCACCTACAGTGCTGGGACCTCACCCTTGAGCCAGCGGGTCTCTAGGTGGGACACTAATACGGGTAAAGGGACGAGCATGATGTGCTGTGAGACTGTCAGCAGAACCTCCTGGATTTACCCAGCTGAAAGGCTGGCCTCGTGTTCTCGCTGTGGCTCAGAAATGAGGCCATGCAGGAGGCTAACAGCAAAACCTACATAGAGCTAAAGGACTGGAAGTGAGTGGTGAGGTCCCCTGGCCGTGGCTGGCAGCAGAGGCGAGGAGCGGGGCGAGTCAGGAGGCCGCAGAGCCCCATGAGATGAGTGCCTCTCCTTGCTCTTGCCCTGCGGCTGACACGGCAGCAGGCTTTGCTTCCCGGCTGGCTGCGGCACTCGCAGCCTGCAGAGACCTGCTTGTCGCATCAGGCATGCGTGCACTGCGCTCCCCTTCTCCCTCTCCCCAGCTCTGCTCATCCTGCAGGACCTGCTCTGCCCCCATCTGCCTCCTCCTCGCCTCCTCCTTCTGTCTTCTCCTTCTCCATGGTTTTCTCACCGTGTGCCTCTCTCCTTGCCTTTCTCTCACACATTTTTCAGCTCCTTTTTCCTTCACTCAGGTTGCTTCTCCCTTTTCTCCCTGCCCTGCCCTCCCCTTGGCACACTGCGCTGCTCTACGGCAAGTTCCTTGAATCTGTTCGCTCTTGGATGCTGCGCACGGCTTCCCATGCTACAGGGCAGCATAAATTATGTATTGCACAAATAACTGTCTTACCAAATCTATATTAAACCCCCTCGTTAAGTGTATTTATGATACTGAATTGAAGGGATCCAGGAAATGACTGGCAGGCTGCAGAGCTGAGCTGGAATAGAAGGCAGTGTTTCTTTTCCAGGTAAGCTGGACTGAGGAAGAGGCAGGAAGGGCAGCGACACTGTGGATGAAGGCTCCTTCACCAGCTCAGGAGCAAGTAGTGGGCTTGGGAGCACATGTATTTCTTGGCACCAACAGCTGGGATGTGCTGATGTGTGATCCCTGGCTGCTGAACGGGAGCAACTGGGTGTGGGCGTGCGGCAGAGGGGGGACACCTCTTTGAATGCACAGAGCTGGGAGTGCACTTGAAAGGATTAGCAGGAGCAATTATTTCCAAAGCCAGGATATAGATGCTGGAGCCTGTTCAAGTCACTTGTGTTTAGCACCCAGAGCAGAGTTATCCTGGTGACTTGGGGGGTGGGGAGAAGAAAGTAAGTGGAGGCTAAAAACAGCTTTATGGGGGGAGAAAAAATTAAAAGTAGGTTAGCAGAGAAAATGAGTTTATAAAAAATGGAAGAGCAGCCGGGAGGCACAACAGTAACCACTGCATTGTGCTTACAAAGCTAAACATGTTAAGATGAATCCCCAAGCTGGATGGCTTATGGCACAAAATATTAAGACAAGCTGGTTCTGATCTCAGGCTGCAGCCAGATCTAAAGAGCAGATAAGTTTTTATTGATCATCTTAATTCAAAACACTCCTAGGGCAAGGTCCTAAATCAGAACATCTTTCAACTCTAAGGGTGTCTGCATTCGCTGCTGAGGGTCAGGTTGATTTCTGTAACTGTGGGAGGATGGTGAGAGCTGTGCAGGGTCGGACCAAAGTGCTAACTCCCCTCTGACTGTGGCTGGTAACAGATGCCTCAGGTAAAACTCTTAGGATGGGGCAAGCACATAGCAAGGATCCTTTGTGGTCTGGTGACCTGCAACTCAATACAGAGCTACCCCAGCCCTGGGCTGATGTTGGCTTCCATGTGAGGAAGCCCAAGGTTAACTTGTGTGTTGTCCTTTGCTGTGTGGCTTAGGTCATTTTACATGCTCTCCCTGGATCTTCGTTTTCCTGTCTATAAAATAATGAGATGGCTCACACAGGGCATGTCTGGAGAGAGACATGGCTACAGATTACTGTAGAAGCATGATATGTGCCTGTGTTTGGGTGTGTAATACACATGGGCTGGATTCATCAGGTAAGCCAGTGAAGTTTTTGAAACTAGGTGATTTTCTTATTCTCAGAGAGCTTTACTTAGTGTTTTTGCAGACAAACCTCCCTTTAAGTCACTCTGGGGTTCAGGTTCATCTGCAGGTTTTGACAGGTACATGCCCCCGGTCACCCTCTGAGAGCTCAGGGCTCCCCAGGGAAAGGGAGCTGTGACAGTCTGGCTGGAAGGAGGGGAGAATCCGACTGAGGGTTTCAGGAGAGGCAGAGCTGATGAAATCATCCATAAAGAGTGCAACTCAGGGGTTTTGGTCCCTCCATTATTTATAAGTTTATCTGCAGTGCATTTTTCTAGCTTCATGTGCTAACACTCACAACAGCCTTGTCCTGTGGGTCTGTGTCTGCCTGCTATTGCACCAGCAGCTCCAAACATACCCTGCTGATTTAGTCTCACCTGGGTGTGTGCTGTTCTTTCTTCACATTCTGCCAGGCTTAGTTTCCTTCTCTGCCAGGAAATTGAACCAATCTCTCGATCTAAAAGGGTTAAATCTACGGATTTTTGTTCAGAACAGGCATGCTCAGTTGTGTGCCAGCTGAGGCCTCGTGCCATCATGAGGAAGGGGAAAAATAAAGGTGCTGCTGCCAATCTAAGCATTCATAAGCCCTTAATCCTAATTGCTTGTATGTGTTTTGTTTTGTTTTCCTTCAGGGCTGGCCAAACTAGGTAGTGAATGTGGAAACTCGTGAGCCAGTAGTTGGGTTACAGGGAAAGATGCTTGTAGTCAGCAATGGGCAGTGAAGTATGCAGAGCAGCATCTCAAGTCTGTGCTAGGCTGCTTGGGAATGTCACACGTAGAAACAACATCATCTGTCTCCAGGAAGACTTTTAAACACATTAGGGGTGTTCTACCAAGTGGCTGTTGCTTTTTAACGTAAGACAATGCCAAGTGATGCATGGCTGTGGCTGTTCGGCTTCAATTAGTGTTAACACCCTTCCATTAAACCCTGGCAGGCAGGGCTGCCCCTTGCTTGGGAGTGTGCTGTGCCAGGAAAGGCTGCTGCTGCCTTGCCAGGGCTGGGGTGACCTGGGGCAGGCACAGGGTGCTGTGCTCGAAAGGTGCTCTGAGGGGTGAGAGGGAGCACCTCTGAGTGTCATGGAGCACATCCATGGCTTGTATCTCCAAGCCTGGCTGAGGAACTGCAGTGCTTGTTTGCTTTGTGCCTGGTGTTGCTTTGTGTGGGGCCAGTGCGTTAACATTTCTGCTTGTGGCTTGGTTGCTGTCCAGCTGAGGCTATTGCTCTCCTTCTTGGATTGATTGTGGCAAGTCAGTTAGCTGCATTCTAGAGGGTTTCAATGCTGCTGTTGCTAAAATGGAGAGAAATGGGATTGCGTGAGTCAAGTCAGTTCCAGGAGCTCATGAGGCCTCAGCCTGGCCCTGAGCTGTTCTACAGTATCTGTCTTGGATTCTCAGTAAAAATAAGTTTCACATCTCACATTAAGAGCTTTTTGGTACAAGAAAATCCTTCCTCTTCTGCATATGTACAGTAACTAACACCATGGGGTTCTGGTCTCCCTGTGGGCACTCCACGAGTCTGACTGCTCTCAGTCAGAGCCTGTTATCCTAATTCTATCAGATTTTAAGTGTTCTGAAGTTAAACTTCATGATGGATTTGACAGTTAGCTTGTGCAGACTGTACATGTGTGATTATTATCCGTAGATGTTAGGTAAAGTTATGTGAATCTGAACCACCAGGAAAATCCAGATGGGCTCAATGTGAGTTTTATGCTAGAACCTGTACTCTGGCCATGTGTGAGGGAAACCTGAAGCAGACAGATCCCTGAAGTGGAATGGCCTTGCATCAAAAGCCTCAAGTCTGTAAAGCTGGAATTATGAGAGCAGTCTATTAAGCTAAAAACAGGTAATTCTTTAATTAGGGGAATTGCTGGGTGAGACACATTAATGTTTAAAGCAAAGTGCCTTTGCAGGGTGAGTCCATTCCTTCAGTCTTGGTTCCTCTCCCAGCAATTTCCACAGACTTCCTGGTGTACATAAACCTGACAGTCTTCACTAAATCACTGGGAGAGCCTTCTCCCCAATTCCTGCTGAGTTGCTCACCCTCTTCGCCCTGCATAGCCCTGTGGAGCATGCTCTAGGTGTCCTCCCCTCTTCTAGAGCCTTCCAGTGGCTGAGGGAACAGGAGCAGGGTGAACAGGCAGCCCTTCTCCCACGCCTTCCCCAAATGGAGAAGTGTCCCAGCCATGCCCTTTTTACTGAAGTACGCAGCTTAGTCTCTTTCCAGTAAATTGGAAGAAACCAAGCCATGCAATTGTGCCATCTGCTACAATTAACGTTTGGAAGTTTATTCTGGGGAGAAAAAAGGCCCTGTGCAGACCCATCTACCCACAGGACAAGTGCTCTTGTGGAAAGGCAGCAGTGCAGGGCCCTGTGGGATATCCTCATGCCCCATGCAGGGCCCTGGAGGCAGCTCCTTAGTAGGCTGACCCTGGCAATGAGAGAGGGTGATGGGGCAGGAGGCAGGCAGAAGATTGCAAGAGTGGTTTTAAGATCTTTTCTTAAAATGGATTTTCACAAAC